AATGGCGCATGCAAGTTAATTGCTTCTTTCAGAAACATTTTAATTGCTGTTAAGTTCTGTTAAATTCGTTGTAGCTTATTCCAACAAGGAAACAGAGTGATGTCATTTTTCAGACCTTATTCAGTACCTGCATGACTGGTAGGCTTCTGTGACAGTCGCATATGCTCCTTCAACGAGAGTTACTTCCGTTTTTTGCCTACCTTCCCTTGGCTACATAATCAACTTCGAAATATTAATTTTATGACCTCAGCAGCATAGCTTCTACAGTAGGCAGCTATGTGTCGCTGTATAAATTCAATTTGCCATTTGCTAACATTTATATCTAATGAATACTATCATTTCCATTTAATTCAATATGAAATGAAAATGAAACCGTCCATTTCAAATATATTGTCTTATATGGTTAGTTTTCAGCGAGATGAGGCACTGTTCCGAGTTACGGAGGAGAAACGGCCAAAGAAGAGGCTGTTGTGACAGATCCCGTCGATGAAGCCAGAATCGGAGCGGACCAAGAGCAAACGGACGTTCTGTCTAATCAGCGTAGTAATCCTGGACAGTAGCCCAAACCATTTACCATGATTGAAAGGAATGTAAAACACAAGCAAACATGGCCATAGTCCTACATCACACAATTGACATTTGACCGATTTACTTCACCAATGACGGATTTGTACCCAAGAAGCTGCAAGCACCCTACTGAAGACTTCTTTTCAGATGGGGCAATTAACGATAAGAGAGATATGGGAACTTGTGGCTTTTAGTCCCACAGGGCAGATGACGACGGTGTCGAGGGTAAGCAATGAATAGTCCTTCAGTGCAAAGAAGGATTATTCAATTTGGATACGATTTTGTTTTTGCCTTTTCTGCGCCAAAGAATTCACTGAACTTCGACAACTATAAGGTTTCATCTTCATCCCGGATTGGGCACGTTAACGTATTACAACCTAGCTTTTATGAATGGCCATAAACTATGTAGGGCAGCGTTCGTTGTGCAGGTGGCCTCTCTCAGATAAATTTGTAACTGGTACGCCAAAATAACACAATGCAGTACTGTGATTGATGATGTTTTCTTCCAATTTTATAAACCAGGTCAATTACAGCAACCGTTTATCAAAAGTCAACCAATCAGCATAATCTCGATCTTTCATTTGATTTCATATCTGGAACCATTGTCTTCTCTGAAGAGGACAGAATAATGAAAAAAATTCGTTTTT